CATATTTATTAGAATTTTCAAGCAGTGGCTACAAGTATCCATGTATTCAGTTAGGTTAGATCGGGTTCCCTGGTCCGTTTTATTATTATCATATAAATGTCTGTACCCAGCATTAAAATTAAAAAAAAATCCAGTTTTACACTATACAATCCTTGGTATTTACAAAACTTCTAGATTCCTCCTGGGTTGTTTATGAATCGGACTGGTTCGCATTCTTCTCTCTACGTGCTTTTGATTAAATGAAAGAATTTTAGTTTTATCCACTAAAATTTGATTTTGGGTTTCGTGATTTAGTGATATTTGTCTTAGTCTTAAAACTATTTCATGTTATTTGAGCCTAGTTGATATTTTTCGTCCTTTCTGTCCCACTCCTGGTAACTCAAACGGCATTTTGTCTTCCATCTAAGATGTTTTAATTCATTGTTTGGTGACACGGGTTGAGATAGTTAGATAGAATATCTACGAGTGGGATGTTATTAGTATTCAATTCAATGGTAAAACGCACGTTAGGTTGCATAGAGTTTAAATGGCTAAGAAAATTTCGTAGGGATTCTTGACCATGAGTCGAAATAACAAAATTGTCATCAACGTAACAGAAGGGGTGGAGGCTTCAATAAATATATGCGCGATGAATGGTGATAATAAAATAATAATAATAATAATAAATAGACAAGCATTGTCCAATTAAGGTTTGGTTCCAGATTCTTGAATTTTAATATGTGTGAAAAAATATTGAGGGTTTTAACAATAGGGACTTTAGTAAAGAGGAATTCTACGTCGAAACTAAGCAGAATATCGTTTTGATCTAATCTAATGGTTTTTAATTATAGTACCAAATTCTCAGATTATCAGTTAAAAGATTTTCATATAGAAGCTAGATATTTTGCTAGAGAATATGCTGGAGAACCAACGGTGCTAACAATAGGTCAAATGGGTAATCCTGGTTTATGAATCTAGAATCATGAGTGGGGAATCAAGAGATGTGACAGACAGAGAGGGGTGACGATTCAGGTCTTAACCTTTCATCAATATGTCACAATGTTCATGCCCCCCGATTCATCAACAATCAACGCAAGAGAAATCCATTCGTTTTGTAAATAGTATTACAGTAGCGTGTGGCAGCATCTTTGAAAAGTTATACAATAATCTAGGAATTATTTTCGTTTCTGCATTTTTGCTGTGGCTTACTGGTAAGTAAACTTAACTAGCTGTTGGATTGAGAGCAAAACTATTATTATTGTCCTCAACTGGGTTCATTGGATCAATTAACTTCTAGGAAGTTCTAACCAAAAATCCCGATGAATGTGTTTTGACTCTTGTTATGCTTTCCGAGAACCTCATTATGTTGGATGTATATGTCTTAACTTTCTTAAGACTTTATAATCATGGATTGTTTCTATTTTTTAAATAAATTTAACAACCAAACGAAATTTCCAAGGGAATTTGTTGTATGATACTGGTACGAAAAATTTCCCAAAAACCGGAACAACTCACTCAGCTTTAATAAGCATAAAAGCATATTTCAAACGAGACCAATTATTAGAATTTGAAGGAATGTGGTTTAAAAATAATTGGTTCTTCGCATATTAACTCAGAGACACGAGAGAATACTTGGCAACAAAATTGTCGAAAAACATCACTCAGTGGGAGGGATGTCGTTATTCGTTAATTTGTTTTTTTTGTCTTAGCAATGCTTATTTTGGAGATACTGCAAAATGGTATCTCACTGCCTTTTGAATCGCTATTGGTGATCGCCGTATTGCAAATTTGGTTTTAATCACTTGTTTCAATTAATTAGATAAACTGGGATATAATGAGCATAGTCTATTTTACCAAAAATTAGGCCACGACGATCCCTTCCTCGCTCGGCCGTTGGCAAACGCACACTTTAGCTTTGTTTGCCAGCAGATGCACCTAAACATGAAATAAAACCAAATAGTCGCATTCGCAGTTAAATTTAGTCATTTACTTCGTTACAAGCCACGTCCTTAAAATTTTATTATAAATAGGCCGGCCATTAAATTTAACTTCTTGGAATCGTGCACGAGTATAAGTGAATCCATAATTAATTGCGCAAAGAAAACAAAACCAACTAACTGGGAAACGTTCGCAAAAGGCCACCCCAAAATAAATAAAAATATCGTGGGTAACGTAGCTATTAGACCCCAGAGAAAAAACAAGAGGAAATTATTTTTCGTGATAAAAGTTTTTGGTGCATTATCTTTATCTTCGAGAATATATTTTAGTATTCGCCACACAGAACTTTTGGATTTATTGTTTGTTATTTTTGCGGACATTGTGTTTCGGTAAGTTTGGGTTTATTATTATTTCGTACTTTGAAAATGTCGAGAAACGCTATAAATAACTCCAAATCAAAATTAGGACTTTAGAGAAAATTTGGAAAATATATGACTATTTTAATGAACTAATGGAAGAAACAATTGTTATCGATAAACAAAATACAATGCTAATTAGTATTCGCCGCTATATGTCATCAACCATGAAGGCCTCTTATACTCTTGAAATATTAGATTGAAAAATAAATACATTAAATCCTAAACCCGGATAATAATTACAGAAGCACGAAAAGTAATTAAAACGCAAATTATTTCTAGTTATTAATATTTAAGAACGAACGAATTTTTTGATTTACTTTACGAATCTGATGGAATGATCATTTCATTGATATTTTACATTTAAAATCGTAACCAGTACTAACCACTCTTTCATTGGTGTTTTCATCTTAGTCAATAAGCTTGCCTTTCTTAACATGGTCTAGTTTTATGAGCCAAGCTTTCCTTAAAAAAAAAACAACAAATAATCTACGACATTTACGACATTACGACATAACTCGCATTTGAAATGGTAAAGGAGTCGTAGGACAAGCTGACTATGGTGTGGTTTCTCAAGATAAGCCGTGAACCAAATCAGCATTAGAGAATGGCCCAATATAGGATGTAAATAAAGGGAAGGTCGAGTTTGGGTATTGAGCATATAAATCATCCATGATTTGAAGATATCTTTGCGCAACCAATTTTCTAGTTTTCGCTAACCATATTAATCTTAATCATAAATAAAATACGGTTCACAATTTGTACTTCATTAATTAACTATTTTAACCGAGAGTGATAGTACCGGGTACGCATACCTAAAAGATTATCAACTTTTAAGTTAAATTCCTTCAGCCATGTCTCGCACGTGTGGGTGGGCGAGGTGATTTGCAACCGCGGGACAAACATCGCTTCTTCTCCCTCTCTTCTTCTTTTGTAATATACTATTGCTTCCATTTACCTATTTAAGGATATTAAAGTAGTTTAATTTTTTTTTCTACCTTAACACGCCTATAGGGTACATGCACTAGAGGAAAAAGTATGTTAATTTCAGGGAAATGGTAGAGGATTTTGCAGCAATGGCTTGTTACTTCTTGGGTAGGTTATTAATCTGAACAGAAACGTTTTCATGAAACAAAAAAAAAGGTATATAAATAAAATGTATACTATTTATATTAATTTTACGCAGTTTAAAATGGTCATGGTAAGGTAAATTTTAATTAAATTAAATTTTCTTCTGTTGCATATTCCTCGTGCTTGTAAAAATAAGACAACGATCTGTAGTCTCTAGATTGGTATTTCATGGCAACCAATTATAAAACTGATAGGACTTTCAATTTATTTATTTGTTAAATAAAATTATAATTAATAAAATATACATTTTTAATGAAGACAGTTGTAATATAATATGGTAATATATAATTTATAATATATATAACATTTTAAATGTGACTCCATCTCTTCCTTTTCTGATTTAGGATTTAGAAAAAATGGGTTAATACAAAAGCTGTAGGGTTTAATGTGTAGGTTTAATATTACATACTTATTTGTATACAAGGTGTTCCAAAATGTCAAAGATAAAAAAGCAATGTAATATTTTTCAAAATTCTATAAAAAAACAATGCAAATACGGAGAATATATGCAAATTCACAGGAAAGATAGGCGCAATGACATTCATGAACATCTATACATTTCAAAGAAACAAAACTTTGGAGAGAAAAACTAGGCAGTGCATTTTAAGTCCTGATGAAGAATTATATGTTTTTCTATTACTTAAACGATTTGCAGAAGTTCAGCATTTGACTGAGGAAAATAAGACTCAGCGATTAGTATTTTTAGCAAATTTTGGCCAGCCTGTAGCCCAGATTTACTATTCCAGATACTTATTTAAGAAACACAATATTATTTCGGGAGGCATGGCATGACTCTGGCCCTATTTGCATTTTTGTCTTTTTTTATATACAATGATAATTTTTAGAATTATTGTCAATTGAAAACATTATTCTTTTATCCATTTTTGAACAAAAATATTATTCAAGATATATCGCAAAAGTAGTGACGCCATGATGACTAAGCATCGATTTTGTTTTTCATTTTAGAAAAATATAACTTTGCAATACTATGATTTTCTGCAACACTCTGTATAGAAATAAGTATGTAATATTAAATTTATACGTTAGTGCCTAAATTTTCTTTCCGAAAATATAAAATAAAAAAGTTATAGCGGGGGCAATATTTTTGTCTAAGTGCATGCGTTAATTTAGAAAAGTACTAATCAATTTCGAATGGCATAAGAATAAAATATATAGGTCGGCTTCTTTGGATTCTTTAAAAATACGAGCTAAGTCAAAAGTAAACCACTTAAAATACCACCCCCTCTCCCACTTGAATTTTACGAAAACTATTAACAAAAAAGGTCGGTGTTGTGAAACAGGATTTGCGATCAAAATTTCAAGAGTGTTTCTAGTTTATAATAACTTCAGCCCAAACAACGACGGCATTCGAAAATGGTTTCCAGAAAATTCGAAATCGTAGTTGCAGAATCAAACGGCACCCTTATGCGCTGTATAAAAATCCGCCAATTTCTTGCCGAATTCCTGGTGGCGATGCCTTGCTCGCGCACGTCGCGAACTCCGGGCATATCTACTTCACACTCAGTTCGTCGCTTCGCTGTTGGCGCCACGACGCACCTCGATGCCCTCCATAGACGCCGCGATGCGAATCCGATGCCGCCAACTTATTTGAAAGTTTCCCGAGATCGCGGCAGTTATCCGAGTGATAAAATGAAGTGTGCGACGCGATAAACGCCCTTTTTCTAAATAAAATAAAAAACACAATGTGCTCACCAAAAACTGTTATCCTTCTACTCGTTTTCCTGCGTAGAGGTAAGAGATGCGTTTAGACGGGGGTATTCTGAGGGTGCTATTTTGTTCGATTCGGGGAGATATTGGACCGCAATATATTTCTGCTAATGGGCTATTATCAGCAAGGTCGTTTATTTTTATAGGTCATTGTGATGGAGTGCGGGTAAAATTATTCAAATTTGGACAGTCTGAAGGGTAACTTTTTTCGAAGAAAGATTTATTGTAAAATGATTTTACAATTTGCGCATATGATGTGTCTATTGATTTTTTCCTTAAATCATTTTTTACCCTCATTTTTATTCTCATTCCAACATAAACAGGTTAATTGGGGGGAGTTACGACTTATGATTTTTTCACTAAAATACAAAATTTTATTTAATTATCCTATTATAACTAATTACATTTTAAGTTATAATTATAGCATATATTAATATTATTATAATCCTGTCATTATTATGATTACCATTAATTATTTTTAATGATGAAGAACAACATGCTGTATCAATCGAAAGGTTCCGGTTCCTATCTAAAGTTTTAAGGTCAGTTTTTATTGAATTGCAAATTGTAAAAAATTGAAAAAGTTGGGTGGAACGCCTTGCTTATTTAAATCATTCAAAAAATTATTTTCATCTGTCTAGAGCATTAAAATACAAGTAATAGAGCTTTTCCATTGATGGTAGTATGGTAGTATGATTGTAGTCAGTTCGCTTAGCAATTAAAATAATGAACTGTTGGTCAAGCATTGTTAAATTGTTTGATTTTCATTGTTTTAAATAATTTTTTGACTTGTTTCGCACATATTTAAAATATACAAAATTGTGCGTCGTCTTCGGTTAAGAATGGGCAATACTTTAACAGCGCCATCTTTAGTTTAGTTCATAAATTCATATAAAAGAAGTTATTGTTGAAAATTGCAAGCAGATATAAGTCCATAGTTAAAAATTATTCAACATTTGAGTTTTTCAACGAGCAAAAACAATGCCTGCCTTTTTAGTTAAAGCCATGAGTAAAGAAAAATCTTGTATCTTTCTCCATACTGTTTCCATTCTCTTGAATTACTAATCCCCTATGAGTATATCTGAAATTTGAGTTTTAGGTAAATTATTTGCTGCCCGCATCGACCCTTTTTTTAGTTTTATAGTTAGTTTTTTGTATATTTTCCTTTTTGTTAATTTCTTATACAGGGCTGGTCTCTTGTTACATAAATGTAGGGTTGTGCCACACATACTTGAAGATTGTGCGATCGGTTTTTTTTATAATCTATATAGCTGGGTAAATAAATAAATAAATTATTTACTTATTTTGGTTTGTTTTCAGTGTTATTTCACAGGTTTTATTGATGTGGAAAAATGAAGGCGTTATTATTTTTTGGCTTCATAAAATAAATAGAAATTGGAACTGGCTACATATAAAAGCAATTAAAATTATATTTCCTCTTCAACCCCAGTATACCAAATTTGAAAGTTATTTTAACACCCTATATTTTTTTCAATATATCCTATTGACCCAAAAAAATACGCTGATCAATTTAGAAGATTTCCGAAGACCCATTCTGTGGACTCGAGGTACGCAATAAATAAGCATGCAGTGAAGGATGTGGTTGGGGTTCCAAGGAATTTAGGGATTGGCATTTTTATTGCATCGCTATTCTTATTAGATTTAAATAGCTTCAAACGTAATTTCAGAACGGTAAGTTAGTCCTGCCTTTTGTACATAGTGAAGAAGTTCCACTTTCCGCTCTATAGTATTTATATTATGGACATAGATAACCCAAGTAGTCAACCTAATATGAGTTTTATTTTGGGTTTGTAATACCTGCATTCATCAAATTTTCAAAATAGAATGAGAGAGTATTTTATTTTCTAAATAATTTCTACAAAATAGAACTTAACGTTTTAAAAAAATCGTTCTTTTGAAATAAGAAAAGTAAGTGTAGTTCATACCCTTTATATTGCTTATGACGGGAATTGCACTAATATTTTACGTTAAGTGACTTTATGGGGCCGCCAATATTAAGGTCTCAACAAAGGCGTAAAATATGGTTCGCGGAAACTCGTGATGAAAATTTAAAACATGTATTTAGCGAAACCGAATAAGTTATGTGCGATTTACTCGGATAGAAAATCGAAACCTTACTGAAATATACACGATGGCGAGTAGGTGCTCATTTTAGCTAGCTTTTTGTTTCTTGCACATGGTACATATTTCCCAAATTATGTTGCTTCTTTAATTTGTAACGAAAATTGATTATTTAAGATCGCATGGATATGTTAAAACGCAAAAAAAAGAGGATTTATATTTTTCTATCAGAATTGCACATTTTTTTGCAATATTTCAAAGAACATGATTTGAAAGCAATCTTAAAAGAAAAAGGTTCGTTTAAGAGAACTTTGCTTAAGCACACGACCGTTTGTAGTAGTATGATGGAAAGAAAACTACTCGCCACGGTATAGGGGAGGATTTTCACTAGTAATATCACTAGAGTTCAAATTAATTTCGGATTTAATTTGACCTCTTGTGGTATTCGGTAAAAAATTTCTACCACTCGTTGTGTTTGAAAATTAAATCATTTATTTTTTTTTTATTTCAACAACATCAGTTTTTGTCTTCAAGTATCAGCAAACATTCCATTCTAAGTTCCGCATTTTCACCATTCACAGAAACGAGAAACAAAGCATCCCAAGAATATAGAAGACATCTTAGCTTTGTACTTGAAATGTACAAAAATTATAATGGAAAAAATAAAAATCAGGCAGTCAAAAAAGATTCTGTTGTTATGTATTTTGATTGGTTCAAAATTACAAGTGTGCAATTTTCTAGTAAATATTGCTTTTGATAATATAAATGTTGTATAGCTGTACTCGTTAGCAACACATTTAAAATACAATGACTTTTCGCCTTACTTATAATGTGTTTTGTGGCGTTACAAGTTATTTTCCATCAATGTCTCTCAGCTTAATTAATAGTTTTGTTTTTTTAGATTTTCCGATTTCACGCAATTATTGCCTTTTAGGGTTTTTAGTTAAAGCGTACAGCCAGAACTGTCATCAACCATCCATCAACGAACCAGGAAATAATGGGCCCTAGTTTGAATGATTTATTCTCATTAATAACACAGGTCTACAAAATTAAACTTTTTGACAGATGTTTTTATTTCGAAAACTGATTTTATATGATTTTGGCAAGCTGATTTCAGAAATTCTATGTATTTATTTGTATCACATAAGTTTTTTTGCAAATATTACAGGAAAAAAGATATTTCTAAAATAATTAATTTTTTTATTCAGTGAAAAACTGGAATCCTAGTTAAAAAAAGTGAAAAAAAAAACTTTACTCAGATTTTTTTGAGTGAAATATTCGTCTGTTTGTCAGAAAGGTGCATTGTCTGAACATTCGGCTGTAGTCCGCCATCATTGCCTTGGTATCGCCTTTCCATTTTCTTAATTTTCTGGTGAAACCTCTCTCTCTTTCTCTCTGCTCTTCGCTAACAGCTCCAAGGTTTTCAGGAAAATAGTTCAAGTGTAAAAACAGGAAATGCAAATTCATATTACAACCTATACGATGAAAGTGTTGATAAATATTTTGTTTATTGTTTTCGTCCTTAGAGTTCCCAAGAAACTTATCAATTACTTCGTTAAATGAAACCCAGGCGTTTTTCTCGACATTGGTCATTGTGTTTTGAAAATCCTTGTCTTTGCATAATGTGCTTATGCAGCCCAACAAAAATATCTTCTTTTCGCACAAATGTTTTTGCCTAGCGTAAGTTTGATATAAAGAGGAGACAGTAACTTTTTTGGGGTTAACCAAGCTATCCCTTAATGCATTTTTGCCACCAGGTTGTTCTAGAGGGTCATTCTATTTGAGTCCAATGTCTATCTCTAGGATGGAAATTTTGTGTAATCTTAGGGCCACCACAAAGCATCCACTGATGTTCTTGATAGTTTATTTTCTTCTGAAGAAATCCTAAATTTTCGTATGTTAAATGTACCGAATACGCAATGGGCAACGGGCCATTGTGCACTTTTCTTTTATATAAGGCACACTTCCTAATTTTAAAACTAAGTCAGCAATTTTGTTGGAATACACTGGCGGGCCTTCCTGAGTAAAATATTGACCTATCCCTTGTTCGCGATCCCGGTAAAAGCTTGATGCGACGCCAGGTGCCAGTAAATGTTTGTCACGAAGTCTAGACGCTAACAATTCGGATGCATCCTTTTAATTTGCTCTTGGTAAACACTTCGGTGTGCTCTTGAAATCTGAGTGATCTGGGTCGGAATTAGATTCCTCTCATTCTGACGATATGACGTTTTCCAGTTTTTTTAGGGCGGTTGGTGTCGGTACATCTGGTCCATGAGAAACTGGTGGAATAGCAGAGTTTTATTTTTTCTGTTAAATCCGTGAACATTACAAGAACAAAACAACAATTACCGTGATCTAGATATAACAAACGTTATTTGGATTGTTCTTCCTTTAGTATGTATACGTCCTAGAACACTAGAAATATGCAACAACGAAGATAACAGCCGCGAACACAGTAGTACGGTGACCAATACAACCAAACAGGCTAGAACACTGTATTGACGCTTCTGCGCCAACTCTGTTGGTGTGCAGGGAAATCTAATAGTATCCAGTGTTGCCAAATCACATTTAAGTTCATAAAAATCAATAGGTATTTATATTAATAAAATAACATTTTAAAGATATTGGGCGCTATAAAAAGGGCCCTCCAAAATATAGAAATAAGCAAACAGCTTTCAAACATCAAAATCACTGTAGAACTGTGTAATTTTCAAATAGTTTTTTTTTGAGTCTCGACTGTAAAAAACACATTGAAGACCACTTGAACGAATACGAATTGCTAAACAATGGGCCGGGACGGATTCACGTTCACTTAATAAGGGTGACACAAAAAACGAAAAATATTATAAGGTGATTTACATGTTTTTTTTTTGTCGGGATTTTCAATGAAAAATCGCTTCTCCCGGGAATGACGTCGGGGTCACCGGATGCGACGGAAAAAG